TAATGAGGCACAGAAGTTTGCTAGCCTTCCACTCCTTAAGCAAATACTTAGCTCTTTAAGATCTGCTGATCTTAAAGGGCAACAATGACAAAAGAGAAGTAAAGGAGCTTAATTCCAACAGTTACCTTTTTCCTTTCTCATTTAGAACTACATGGGGGACCAAATTCAATGGAGCAGGCATTTTAAAGGTAACTGAGTCTAAACTTCAAAAAAATCAATTTCCTGATTAACACACATGAAGACAGATTTATTATTTCTAGTGAGGGCAAAACTATTTCCCAGGAGCCCCATTTACTTTCTTTAAGTAAGCCCAAGCCTGCTTGTTAACATAACACCTTCCTGGCTATCCAAGTAGAAAATAAGGAAAGTAACTTCTCTAGTTTTTATTATTTTTTTTWAATTTCAAACATATGCCTTTAGTATGCTTTGTATTTAGATTTACTAGCCTACAGAAATGTAATACAATGTCATTATCTTGTCCTGTTTTATTCTACCAATACTGCCTAAATTACATTAATATTTTATGCCTGTTACTTGTTCATACCACAAAAATTTTGTCAACTAATAACACATCTGTACATATTTTTTACTTCACCTGCTTACTCAACCTAGATTTCAACTTCCCTGAATTTCCATATTCAGTTCTTTCAATTTCTCAATTTCGGTACATGCCTTAGACTGGTGAATAAATGTCATCATTCAATAATAACTTTATTACTTGCCTGCTTTAATGTCATCTGAACATTTTATAAGCATGTCCTTAAGTTTTTATCTAAATCTGGGATCTAACAATGAGCTTTGAAGCGAATATGTATAGCTTTCATCTGATCCTCAAAGTATTACTGATTACCTGCTTGTCCTACCTTGGCTCACCTCTTACATAAAAACTACAGAATAAGCTAGCGACAAAAACATTTATATAATATGATACAAAGGAGTCCTGTGAGCACAGCCACTTTAGTAAGTACTGAAGGAAAACCTGGAAATTTGGAAGTATACTTAGTTAACTGAATCTCCACACCAATTAAGACCAATATATGTTACCCTGAATATATGTTTACTGGGGGAAACTAGGTAAACAGTACACGGGAACCCTCAGCATTATTTTTTCAACTTTAAATCTAAAATTATTTCAAAGTAATAAATAGGGGGGGCAGGGGAAGGAGGAAGGATCAAAAGGAGGGAGGTGAAGAACACTAAAGGGTCATTAAAAACCTGTCCTTGTTGGCTTCTTGGACTACCCTCTACTAGATGTCCTTAAGTGAAATGTAGATAAATTATTAGGTACTAAGGACAAATTATCAGGGACTATTTGTGGTGCTACAACATGGTTCAGTCAGTTCTATATTCTTAAGGTACTTACACATAATTATTGGGAGATAACATTTAACCAGTACCAATACCCAACAAGTATCCCACTATACAGATGAATCTCAAACATAACACTAGGCACTAACATAGTATGGAAGTACACTAATTACATAGCGTATCAGAAGTTAGGACAGGGAGAAGGTGACTAGAAGCGGGTATGAAGAGGCCATGAAGGAGGGTTATAATATCCTATGTCCTGATCTTGGTGCTGGTTACACACTTGTTTTCAGTTTAAACTGTACATTTATGAATGGTGTACTTTTTTGATACAAGTTGCGGTTCATTAAAAAGATTTTTAAATATTCCTATTACTGAGCATTCAAAAATTATATTACCCAAATTGTGAAACATGTTCTATTATATGGGATAACAAGTATTGGTTAAAAATAGACCCAAGTTTCTTGGAGGATGAACAGAACAAAACAAATTATTTTATAAAGTACCCATGCTATTGATATAGAAACATTTAGTGCTAATTCACTTCTAGATTAAAAAATGAAATCTCGTAATGTACAATGAAAAGAATGAAAATTTTTTCTAACACAAATACTTGGGTTAAAGACATACTTTTTAGCCAGTAATTTAAAAACCAGATGTAATTAGATATAAGTGAATAATCTAAATATTTTAACAAAAACCATCAAATATTTACTAAAAGACTTTCTATAAACTTACTTAAGACATTCATTTTAATAACCCAGTTCTTCTACTCTCCAATAATTTCTCTTTAAATAGTGGTGCTACCATAAAAAAGAACAAGCAGACTCAAGGGGATGGTGTACCTAACAATTGCTACTCTTGCTACATTTATGCAATTTCCTCATGAACATGAAAACATTGCAAGTGCTTATCAATGAGAGTAAATTCTTACAAGCTACCTAATTTCTTCCTTTAAAGTTTCTTCTCCCTAGTTCTCCTTCAGCCTTACTGACCTTGAAAGCTGTTTGCTTTTATATTTGAGAGCTGTTTGCTTTTATAGATTCCCAATGAGAGCCTGATCCTCAGTGACTAGCAGGATAGGTTCTAAATTAATTCTGTAGATTTAAGAGAGCTAATAATTAAATTTGCAAAGTTTAAAAAAAGTCATATTTTACAGTTACTGCTCTGAAACACTAACACACGAGAACATCGCTAAAAAACTGACTTTACGACGAGATATATCTCCTAGAAAGCTAATCATGTAGCTACATTATTCACTATAATAAGTTGGCATTCCTAAGAAGAGGTCGATTATTTTTGAGCTATCTGTGTTGACTGTCCTAATACTTGAAGATAGTTTTACTGATTGATTCCCTGAGGATTCTGCAAGTAGGGAAGTCAGAAACTATGATGGCATATACAGAAAGATGGAAAAGGCAGCTTGAGAAGAGCTTCAATATTAGTACTATTTAGGAAACCCCTGGATATCCCAGGAGAGAATATCTAAATACAGGAAGAGGCAGCTGAGTTGTTGAAAAGCTTTTCAACTTGCTAATTTAAATAGGAAAGGAAATGAAGGACCATTAGGGAATTTTAAATCAATATGAGAAAAATATATCACTCATATTTTGGTTAAAAAGAGACTCAGCCAAACTCAAGGAATCCTTGAGATGGGGGTTGGCAGCCGGGGGGGGGGGGAGACACAGTAATCAAAAGTACCAGTCTTTCAAGTTAGGACAAAAGTGGTGGACATCTTCTGATATCTAGGGCATGTTTAATGAAAACTGGCATAAAGGCTGCCCCTACTGAAAAGCATTCCAAGATCTCATAAACTGAAGCTTGAAATATAATATCTGGCCATACTGACAGGCAAGTTTATGCCTAAAATAAGTAGATTATGTAGTAGATAAAGTAAGGGACTTTCAGTCCCCTAAACTTCTGAATGGATCTAGCAACCACAGTTTTTCTCAACTGAGTACTTAATAAGCTAGTTGAAAAATCAAAAGGAAGCCATTAGTCAATTTCCATTAGGTTGGGCTTGTCACCTTGGTATCAATGGGCCAATTTATAGTGAAAAATGGCTGATCTAAAGATCTAGAATGTAAGTGCTGATTATATTTTGGCATTAACATAGACAAGTAGCCATTAGCTTCTTTGGCTTTGAGAAGAGAAAATATTTTAACTCATGAAAAACTACAGATAAAGCAACTTGCCTCATTTCTGACACCTTAAAATTTCTGGTATCTATAAAACAAAAATAAATAAAGGAGTATTTAGCTGTAACAACAAATGAGCAGTCAACTTCTTTGTTGTTTTGCAATAAAATAAAGGAAGCCTTTTAATATTAGAACAGAATTATACATAATAAAGCTCAAATCTTTTTATGCTGCTTTGAGAAAATAATGTATGTATTCACGCTGCTATGGCAGCTTGTCAAAATTAGATAGTTGAAAACTTACTACATTTTAAAATAGAGTGCTAATTTTCCCTTTTTCTTTAGATGAAGTATAGATGCATCCTAAAGTATTCATACTCTGACTACACCCAATAAGCTATTTGAATAATTAAACCTTCATGCTTGTTTCATGCTATAATTTACATTTACATATTAATTTGTACTGCTATAGCAGAAATACCTAAAAACTGATTTTATAAACTTGGTGCTACAAATTTTAAACATAAAGTTCAAAAAGTGACTGTTTAAAAACACCTTTGGTGAAGTGTTTTTGTGTTAAGGGATACACCATCTAAAGGTACTTTGTTAGAGAATACCTTTAGAGTATAACACACACAAGCAAATCAAGCCTAAGGATTAAAAGAAAGTTTTACTGTTTTTAGGCAATATAGATCATGTCTTAATATGATATGTACATGCACTTAGCAATACTTTTTCTAATGAGATGGAGCAGACTGTTATCCAAAACTATACCAAAAGACACAAATGCATTGCCAGGCAGAGTTAAAAGAATCTAACAAGCTTTGTGTGAATTTTAAAAACACTGTTTGTACTCAACTTTTGTTAATTAAACATCAAATGATGTAGTGCTAACAAATATTCAGCAAAAATAATTGAACAGAGCATACACTCACTTAAAATATATGCTAAGCAGAAAGATAAACCAAAGTATCTTTTCTCAAAAATCAACTCTGAAACTCTTCTGTATTTTTTAATGTTGAAAGTAAAATATGTACATTTCTGTGAGAAAGCAAACTGTTTTGGGGCTTAGCAAATCAGTAATGTATATCTAATGAACTCCATAGAACCAACTTGGATATTTGAACGTCTCATCAAAAATTAAACAATGACTACTCTGATACCTTGGTCTTGTCTTTCCTCCAATTTTAAAATTTGAAATAATATTTTGTTTTACGTTATCATGGCTTTTATATAGAAATCATATAGAATAGCACAAAATTAAAATTACTACAGAAATATGTTTTTGATTAAAATAAGTGGTTATTTAATATAAGATTCACACACAGAACATATAAATCCTTCAAAAAAATAAATATAAAGTGCACAAAATTCAGTTAAAAAAAAAAAACATGTTTATAAAATATATATACTGTCCTTTTGGTTTATTTTGCTGCTTTGTCCCATGCTAGATACCACGTGATTTTCCCTCTTAAAACAGCAAAGATCAGTTTTATGCAAAGCAATTCATGCATACATTTTTGCATGTATGCATTCCATATGTAAGTATTCATACCTATCCCAGAGGCTCTTTGATTCCTGAAACGTGTTCAAATGGAACGCTTGGTAGAAAGCAGTTGAAGGATTCCTGTGAGATCCGAGAATCAAATGGAAATGAGGTTGAGAATATACAGTAAAATCACTACTTTAAAAAAAAAAAAAAAAGAAGGAAAATTTTAGATTTCTAATACAGTGCAACTGCTTTATTGAAAATAAAAAGAAAAAAGCATATAAAGTTGTTAAAACACTTTGAAAGAAATTAAAAACTAGACAAAAATCCAATAGACTCCAACAATAATTCAGGATCAATTTTCTAAAAGGGGTAATAGATAAAACTTTAAATGTTAGTTAGCATCCAGTTGTGACATTGTGTTTACATATGAATGTGACTAGTCTACAGCCCATATTTGCCTTTTAAATATAATATCTACTAGTCTAGCAGTTTAATAAAGCTATTCTTAAGTGTTCATGTAAAATGTTAAGTCATACCTTTCTCAGAATATGCTGAAGTGGGAAGTATTTGAGAATGAAAAAGAGTCCTTTCCTGGGTTGGACTTGACACATTTCTACCTTCAGAATTCACATATTTACATGTGGTTTTTCTCTGGGCTGGTGCAAAAACTTTGGTTGCAACAGCAGCTTTCTAGCTAGCATTAATACAACACCCCTTTAAAAGGTAAAAGCTTATTTACAATAACTATCATTCACTTTTATCATTCTGGCTAACAGCACAGAATCCTAACTGATGGCTCACCTGGGCAAGTCCCAGTATGCATGATTCTCCTTGTTTCCGGACTAGTTTCTTAGGGAACAAAACCTTTGACAAACCAGCTTCTTAATAGTTCACCCTCCTCTTCAGCATGGTTCTAGTCTCCCTAACCATCAACTTGTACTTTAGGGGAGCTAACAAATATCTGTCACATCATCTTTACAATTCTTGATCCTTGCTGCAGCAGAATAGTAGCATCTAACAATGTAAATGTTTATTGCACAAGAGACCCTGTTCTAAGTGCTTTATGTTTATTAGCTCAACTTTTGCAACAGCTCTACCTAAAAGGTCTAAGATTTATATATTCCTATCTCACAGATCAGAAAATTGGATCCAACAGAAGTAATCTGCCTGATGCCATAGACCTAGAAAGGTAATCTGGTTCCAGAGTTTACGTTCTTAAACCACTAAGTTAAACATATAGCAGCACTAAATTTTGACTTCTTTAAATCTCTGTTAATAGCCTCTCAGGATGACTGAAGAATTGAGACAATACCTAAATCTCTTGGAATACAGTCAATGCTCAACAGCTATCATTTTGTATACAAAATGACACAAATGTAATTCTGAGGCCCTAATAATGTGCATTTAGAAAGTCTGCAGAATTATGGGTACAGTTAGAAAACTATTTCTAAGGTCTACTGCAAGAGTACTCAAGTATCAGTGATCATCAAGACAAATGCACAACAGAACTCTGATTTCAAAACTCATATGAAGGCTAATTAAGTTGTGTAATGTAACTGTACTTAGAAGTCAGTCTGCCAAATCAAATGAAAACCAGCTGAACCAACTGGAAACTCAACTGGGTTTTTTTTCCCCCCTTTTTTAAACCAGGCCTGCGTAGGACCATATGGGAACTAGTTTGATGTCCTCACAGGTCTGTTTAGAGACCCCAACTTTAGACAGAATGACTCAAAGAGTTAGGTAGTAAATACTTCCCTTCAAAGTAAACTTAGAAGTTATTCTCCAAGTCTGGAATTAAAAATTCATAAACAAGAACTTTAAAGATGCTCAAATATGAGGATGACATTTAAATAAAAAACACTTCAGATTTTGGCCAATTCATCTGCCAAATAAATTGGATTTAATAAAGTCATATGACTTAAATTACGGAATTCTAGCATTTCTTAGCATAACAGCAAAATTTCTCTTATAAGTTAAATATAAAGTGGAAAAAAAACATATCTACAGTGTGAAAAGAACCTACAAAATGAAATACAATCAATGAACTTATCTTTAAAATGTCAAGAATATTGCAAAAGCTGAAAATTAACACTTATTCTATATATACTCAAAATGAAGAAGGCATTTGGAGTTATACAGTCTATACTCCATAGAAAACTTAAAAATAGTCTAGATTCTAAAGATAAAAAATTTAGAGTGCCTACTTATGAGACATGAGATTTTGGAACGGGATGAAGTTAAGTGACAAGAGTGCTTGCCTAACATGCACAATTCTAGCAGGCACTGGTGAAAAGAAAGAGAGGAAAAAAAAAGTTTTTTTGGTTGTTGTTCCTGGAATACTATTTCAAGTAAAATGTTACCCATAAACTGAGTGTCCCCCTTCCAATTTTTAAAGCAAGTAGCAACACTTTAGATCAAAGTATTAACAGGCATAGATAAAAGATTTCAAATCTCTGAGACCTAGCTTATCAAGAAATCTAAGGGAAAAAGAGAGAGAAAAAGAGCCATTTGTAAATACTAACAGGCCTGATCATCAGACTTCTGTTTTGAAATGGCATAAAAATTGAGAGGATTTGGGCTGGGGTTGTAGCTCAGTGGTAAAGCACTTGCCCAGCATGCGTGAGGCACTGGGTTGGATCTCCGGCACCACATAATAATAAATAAATAAACAAATAAAATAAAGGTAATATGTCAAAAAAAATGAGGGATTAAGAGTCCAAGGAAAACTGTTAATAGAATAATTTCATAGTTACAGTCTATTAAACCCAAAAATATCAAAAGGTAACTGAAATGTAAAAATTTATTTAAAAAATATTGAACTTTATATAGTTTGGCCACAAATTGTCTTCTGTCCAAGAAATAAAATTTGAAACCAGTTTCCTAACCATTCTAAATACAGAACCAACAAGCAATTCTTAGGACTGTGGTGTTTCAACTACCTAAATGAAAATATTGATTTTCTAGTTGGAGCCATTTTCAAAATCATTGAACAAAATATATTCCTAATGACTTTATATACTAAATGGTCTATCACGACTATTCAAAGTACATGAAAATAGGGCATCAGAAAATGACACAAAACAAAACACTTTAGTAAGACACTATCTTTGTCAGATAACTATGACAGGGAGGGAAAAGAAATACACATATATCCACACTGTAGAACAAAGCTACAAAAGTTGATGAGGCTTCAAAGGATATGTGAGTCCTGAACTCAGTGAACATTTTCTTTTATTTATGTCAAAATTCAACTTCAGAGACTCTTTGAATAGAAACCAGGGAAATACAATAAGCAGATGATAAACAAGGGCCACTTCGATATTACTATCTAGGGATTATAAATGGTTAAAAATATCCTTTAGATAAAGGGTTACAACACAACACATCAGTGGCTTCAGTAACTTTCCCTTCCTCCCAGTATCTCATCCTCTGCCAAGTAATAAAAGCAAAAACTTCCAACTCTGGAAACACACAAGAGCACTAGTGTGGAGGTTGAAGACCTAAGCAAGAGACTATGCTTTATCACTTAACAACTATGTGTTTCAAACTTCCAGAGCCTCGACTTTCCTAATCTGTTAAGGGAAAGGAGGGGGGTGGGAGGAAGAAAGCACTTCTTTACAGGTTACTACAAAAATCAAATAAGATTATGCATACAAAGAGCCAGACACTATTAAGCTTGGTTTGTGTTTAATATAGGGCTATGGTTTCCAAATTATGTTGTATAAAAAACAACTTTTGGTAGAGAATCTTAACATATACCAAATGTTTCATCTCCATCAAGGTAATACCCAGGCAAACAATAGTTAAGTTTAGAACTAGGTGTATCAAAGTATGTAACATTCCACTGAGTATTTTAATTTGGGGGACTCAGTGCATCTCCATGTACTCCCAAAACACAATTCTGTTGCAAGATTTTAATTTAAAATACAATGATCACTGAAAGGAGTGTTGAAATGGCTACAAAATAAGTATTACTTGAACAATAAAAGCTTCAAGAAACACATTTAATAGCAACCAAAATCTTATAAAAATTTAAATTTATCAAGATTGTAAGCCTTTCATTCTGGTTCCCGTCAAGTTAATCAAATCGTTTTTCAAAATGAGAAATTCTTACTCTTCCATGTCATTGCACAAGCTGCCCTTTCCCTTAGTTTGGAAAAGCATCCCTTTCTCTTATCAGTAACCTAATCTAAATGACCCTTTTAAGATTTCAAGAGTGGGTCTCAGAAGCATGCACATATAATGATTTGACTCTGAGAACACAAACTAGATGTCAGAAGAACAGAGGTGGCAGAGAGCTTTCAATTTTTCTTTTTGTATATTTTGAACTACATAAATATATACTTATACAAAGAATAACTTATAAATAGAAGTTAGTCTAATACCTCGTAATTGTTAAATGACTTGATGTTTTAAACTGTCCCCATTAGCACCTTATATTTAGAGTCTACAATGTATATATCAACGTATATATATGATAATCACTTTCATATAGCCTGAGATCTTGGAAAACAGGAGTCTTATTTTTGTATCTCAGTGCTTACTATTCAGAAAATACAATGAAAGATGAATGATTGACATATTGTTACTTTAATGTTTACTTAGACATTCAATCTGCTGAATGAATATTTGCAAATCTCATTTACTATCACACAATGGTCCTGTGACAAAAAAAAAAAAAAGGTTTAAAACAAGAGAAAGGTTTAAACTAGCAGCTCTCTCATGAAGCTTATCTTGTTAACTCAATAGAGCTAGAAGGAATCTTAAAATCTGAGYCCTTAAGTCTAGCTTTACCAATGAGGAAAATTGAGAGAAGTTAAAGAACTTGACCAAAGAAACCAGCAAAGTTGTGGCAGAGCCAAGTTTAGAACACAATTTGCTGCCAGATGTAGTGGCAAATGTCTGGAATTCTCAGCAACTCAGGAGGCTGAGGCAGGAGGATCACAAGTTCAAGGTTAGCCTCAGCAACTTAGCAAGACCTTGTCTCAAAATAAAAAGTGAAAAGGACTTAGGATATAGCTCTGTGGTCAAGTGCCCCTGGGTTCAATCCCAGTTCCAAAAGTGGGGGGTGGGGGGGAGGGGAGAATGAGAACACCACACTTTGTTATACTTCTTACTACCTCATGACCTTACTG